ATCTATATTTTACAGTCTCATTTTATTTGTTTATTTCTATACTGTTGCACTGTATTGTTGTACTACTACATTGTTACCAGCCAATTATTTTAATAGCAATTATTACATTTTCCATAGTTGTGCTATCAAAATGTAAAATTGGAATCAGCAATAATTTTGCTTCTCACGAAGAAAAATCAGGTTATAGAGGGATAATTGTCTGCTCCAAAGTTATGTAGCTTTGTAGCTATTTTTCTGTTGCCTAAGAAAATGTACGTCAGGTTATAGAGGGTCAATTGTCGGCTCTAATGTTATGTAAATTTGATACCATCGTAAGTTGCCTAAAAAAATGTACATTTTTTCTTCAGGTTCGTAGAACACAAAGAGCACGATCACGAATGTGCTGATTGATTAAGAAAAATTCGTCTGAATCGATGTTACCTTTACCCAATAATAGATCCTTGTCCGCACACTCTCTCATTCCCACAATCGAACTTGAAATTAGAAACACTAACATCCACACAACCACTATTCCCTGCTTTCGATTTACATTTTGCCTTCTCTACAGTAAGACCAATCTGAATCGTCATCTAGTATACTAATCCCTCTAATTTCTCAAAAAAAAAAAAACTCAAGTCGTTAGGTTCAATTTTAAAAGTGTTATACTGTTCTAAAGAGTGTCCGAATATTAGTGGAAGTCACTGTTCGTTTCTCTACTTATTATTAACAATTACCGTGTATTTAAAAATCTATGAAAAAATATTTGCTTAGAAATAGTGTCTGGATATCATTACATCCACGATTCCTCTAGAATTACAATTTGGGGCGAAACAGAACACTCGTGAATATTCCGTAACCTTAACCGCACAGCGAAGTTAAACTTGTTATCAATGGCTTCTAAGAACCCTCTACGACCTGCAACATCCACTCTACCTTAAAATTCCAATACACCAAAGTACCCTGTATCAGCCAGTAGCGAAACAAGCAGTACACAACGAAGGAATCGATCGAATGCTAGTCGAATCCTCAGCAGAAATCGAGCAGTCGTTTCCCCAGCTAGCTGGAATTAGCATAACAAGATTCCGTGGTGCACGTAATGCGGCTACGGCCGCGGATTTGCACGGTCCATTTAAATACAATTTCTTTTTCCCTCGATCAAGAAATTACGTGAACACGCGAAGAGCACGCCTGCCTCCCGTTCGCTGGATGTGTTGCGCGTCGCGACGCCGCCGTAATGGATTAAAGGGGCCTGCATTAAAGCCGCGATTCGAAGAAAAACGCTACGATTCCACGTCGTCCCTTCCGCTTTACACTCTTCTAGCCACTGTCTCATGCTAATTAATTCTGCTTGTATATTAATCGCGCTGCCTTTCACGTCAACTCGCCGCGCTCGCTCGGACATGACGATTCCGCCTCCGCTAGTCAACCTCGTTTCCTTTCCGCTTCTGTTTTCGCAAGAGGAGCAACTTCTGCGACTGGTCAAAGGGTCGCTGGCTTGTGCAAAGAAGTCACTGTCCCTTCCCCTTGCGACGCTCACGGCGAGTAAGTTTTTAGTTTACTTTGGAAACGGTACAATCGAATTTGTCGCAGTTTGCGAATTTTTTGTTTTGTAATTGTGAGGAAAATACGTGACTCTATAATATCGGTGAAAGAGTTCATTGGAATTGAAGTGAAAGCTCTGCAACGCGTTGAAATTGACGTGGTATTTACATTTGGAGACGTGAGACGTTATCCTTGGGCGATATTTAGGATGAAAAATTAATACATAACTGTAACGCAAGGAATTTGAAGTTTTTCGTAGACGTTTAGTCATGCTTCAAGAAAACACGGCGTAATTTTTAGGTAATTATTTTAATTATTATTTAAGTTATTATTCATATTCACGATTCACGTTGTTGTATTCATTTGGTACAGAAAAATCAAAGGAAATCTGAATCCATATTAGTATCGTTATCTTTCCTACCAAAATAATACACAAACAATATATTTTTACAAAAGGGCAACCATGTGAAGCACAAATATCGTTTCCATCATAAAAGTTTTAACTTCTACCAATGATAAGAAAAAACTATTGCATGTATTTACACAATTTTGATACATACCATAAAGGGATATCTACTTTATACGTGTGTGAAATTTGAGAGAGATTGGTTGATTCGTCGTTGAGAAATCATGGCATCCAGTTTTTAAAACACCGTTTCGAGGAATACGCATTTAAAGTTTTGCTACACTTAACGTTCCCAGCGGTGCATCACTGTCATGGAATCATTATAACACTGTCATTTCGTCGATTTCAGACATATAATTTTAACAACACATTTTCAAGATGTTATACTTGGAGAAAGTGCAATAAAAAAAAATCGATTCCTTGACCCCTCCAAATGGGAATATCCTCTTAAAGTGGTATATTTTAAGTAGTATCAGCTAGTGTATGGTCAGACATGCGTTTACAAAAATTCCCTTCGTAATTTCTCTTTCTTCTCAGCAATATTCCGGTGCGGTTAATTACGAATCTGCAGGAAATCTTTCAGACAACATTCCTCTTCGCAACTTTCATCGATTAGCAAATTTCCAAGACTCGCAGTCAAAGAAGAGAGAGCCGTTGAATCCCCGAAATTTCCGGTCGCGTTCGGGGTGAAAAGTAAACGGCGTAGTTGCCTCTGTATCCTCAGCCACGGAGCTTCTTCTCCGTGAGAGGTTCGCGTCGTTTTTCACTCGTTGCTACCGCTTATCGCTTACCGGGGTCCGGGAGAAACGCCGCGGAAGATAGAAACCGACCGGTGGATCCTTCGAAACAAATGCTCGGTACGTGTTGCCTTCCTGCCGGCCCTGTATACGTGCACGAGCGCACACGGCCGCGTTTTCGGCTGGCTGAAGCGATCTGCAAACACGTATCGCGCCAGGGATTACGTGTAAATATCGTGAACGGTACAAATAAGCGGGTAGAAGCGGAATTGAACCGAACGTCTATGTGGAGGTTCAGCCACAGGCTCGAGTTGGCGTTTGCGCATACGTGGATCGACTGAATGGTGAGACTGTCGGTCAGACGGCTTCGCGGGGATGCAAATCTACTCCCGAAATTGTTTCTTCGGTTAGAATAAGACGCTCGACGATGTGATTTGTAGGAAATAATAGAAGTGGAGTCACTAGAGATACCACTAGTAACGAAGAGATTATCGTGTACTGCAAAATGTATCCTTTGATGTATAAAAAATATTACTTTCTTATCCAGAAAACGTGTATTCTCTAGAAATGTCCATTGAGTATAATTTAAAATACAGCCTGGACTAAAAGTATCAGCCACCCATTCATAAAATATGAATCATTTAGAAATATTTTTGCAATTTTTTAAAATTAATTTTGTCATTATTTTATTGTGCCACCTTTTATCCAACATTTGACAATCACATCAATATCTTTCTGACTTTTACCTTCAGACTTTTCTCTGAAGAAAACAAGAATTAACTTGTGTTGACGGTCACTCAGTTCACTCTTTTTTTGGCATATTTCAAGGAAAACTGTCTAACTCTTAAAATATCAACAGCAAAGCTAAGAGCAAGGTGATCTGTGTTAGCACCGAGCAGAGTGTAGACTATGCATCGCTACATTACTTTATCACCCATTATAAACTTTGTCAACAGTTTTAAAGTTCTTTTGAACAGACCGATGATAAACAATAGAAAGTTTTCAAAGAAATAATTTTCGCATTAAGTTGTAACAATAAAGCTGCCTGATACTTCTGGCCAAGACTGTACAATTTCGGAGGACAAAAGGAATTGGACGATCTTTGAAAAGGAAATTCAACGTCCAAGGGAAATTGCGGTTGGACGAATGATAAATTCCATTCAGAATCTATCAGCTATTTAATCCAGCAATTATTAGATATTTTTCAGTTACATCGAGCGATGTAAACCGGAAAAAAATCGATGGCACGCGGGCGCGGGAACGTGTCCTGGATAAGGGGATGAATTGCAATGACTAGAGGCGAGGGGTGGGGCGGAGGAGAGACAGGGTGATCAGGTGAATTCCACTGGCGCAAAACGATTTATGGGAAGCGAACACCCGGCTGTAAAATAACACTTCCCATTCAAATCGGCAAATTAATGGTCGTTTTCATGGATTCTTTGTTTTCCCCGGTCCGAACAATGGCTCGCTGCTGGGTTATTATTCTGAAATACTACTACGTTCACCGTAGTTGGTGCAGAATCTCACGGGAAACGTGTGCGTGGTCGACAACATTTTTTCCTCTGCGGTCGTCGCGACGCCTGAATTAGAAACAGAGGATTTGCATGCGGTGGTGACGGATCTTCTGCTAATCGCGCTTCGCGACGCGATTTTTAAACAAATTCGGGAACATCTCTGGATATTGATCGGCATATTATTTTATCGGTGCAATGTGAACATCGCAGAGTCTAATTGAAGATTAACCGTAAGAATTAGAAAGTTTAAGTCAACCCTCTATAACGCCACGTGACTTGGAAGACACGCATCTATTTATCTATATTTTACAGTCTCATTTTATTTGTTTATTTCTATACTGTTGCACTGTATTGTTGTACTACTACATTGTTACCAGCCAATTATTTTAATAGCAATTATTACATTTTCCATAGTTGTGCTATCAAAATGTAAAATTGGAATCAGCAATAATTTTGCTTCTCACGAAGAAAAATCAGGTTATAGGGGGATAATTGTCTGCTCCAAAGTTATGTAGCTTTGTAGCTATTTTTCTGTTGCCTAAGAAAATGTACGTCAGGTTATAGAGGGTCAATTGTCGGCTCTAATGTTATGTAAATTTGATACCATCGTAAGTTGCCTAAAAAAATGTACATTTTTTCTTCAGGTTCGTAGAACACAAAGAGCACGATCACGAATGTGCTAATTGATTAAGAAAAATTCGTCTGAATCGATGTTACCTTTACCCAATAATAGATCCTTGTCCGCACACTCTCTCATTCCCACAATCGAACTTGAAATTAGAAACACTAACATCCACACAACCACTATTCCCTGCTTTCGATTTACATTTTGCCTTCTCTACAGTAAGACCAATCTGAATCCATACCAGAGGTTCTCAAGGTACTCCATTGTTCAGTACCGCAACCACCGTACCACAATTCTCCTAAAGCTACCATGAGAGAATCATTGATCAATAGATCTTCGTCGCACGTATACTAAAACGCAATATCAATCGTTTTCACGGCTGCAATGAACACACATATTCATTTGCCTTTCGAAGACTGATACATCGCGTAAAAGTCAAAGCTTCTTCCGCTTTCTTTCCGCCCTGCTCTTTCATTTTTGTATAGAAATTAATCCATGTCACCATCGAAACACGCGGAAATGCATCGAGAAGAGTCCTTTGACTACGGCGGGGCAACGATGAAAGGCTGTCGAGAAATCGGCGCGCATTCGAACTGAGCCTGTTCACAGTCGTCAGGCACAAAGAGCCGCGAATTGCAAATGAAAACGCGAAAAATGGGTGGAAAGAAGCGTTGAAACTCGAACGAGCACCTAGATCATCAGCAACCACTGTATTCACGCGGATACACTATCTTCAGATGCTCGTCGGAGATTCAAATGTCCTGAACGAGGCGAAGCGTTTAATTAGAATTATCCGGTGATTACGCGAGCTAGCGGATTTCCTGGTTCGAAAAAGCCAAAAAAATCGCCGGACAATATTCACGCCAACAACAATCCCCTATGAACGGGTTTTTACAAAAGGCAGACACATGGACCGACCATTCATTTGTTCCAGCTATATCCGCACGGTCGCTATCCATTTTATGCGGAATTCCGCGCATGTTCCGACGAAATAAAGGCAAATACAGCTGCACAAGGCACAAAGAAATTCCTGACGCCGAACCTGGCACCGGGTCAGCCTTGGTGCTTCAGAAGAATGACGAGAATTCTTCGGCATTCTAGTCTGGACCAAGCTACATTGAACTGATAAATAGAAGTGAAAGATGTTCGATATCGTAGTCTAAACTGAAGACTCAAAACAGGCCGCGATTATCCTCAGATCGCAGACTGAGTAATCGTGACACTATTCTCCCGATGGATTAAGACTCGAAGAATTAGTTGTCTGTAATGGTGGTGCATTGACCTGCACTTGGTTTGAGTTAGACTGCGTACTGAAGTTTATCAATATAGTGTATTTACATGTGCTGGATGATGGTTGTTCCAATAAAATTCTGTCGTTGAAAAATGACTAATATTTCTATTGGCTGAGTTACTTAAGAAAATATGGTAATTATAGATAGGAGTAGGAATTGTCACGATGGTCGTAAAAAGTAATGGTGAATAGGAAAAGATGGACAATTTTTTGGCATTGTTCATAAATTAGGCTCACGTGGGCTATGTTTGTAACGGCACATTCGTACCACTAAAGTCTTGTACATTTAAAACATTTTGCACGACGACTGTCGCTGTTCCCTATTGAATTAATACACTACCGGCCAACTGTTGGGAATCACTGTGCATTGCAAGTTGCACAAAAATTCCCCAAAAATGTTAGCATTTATAATAATTTTCCAGCAAACTTTTTATTATTCGAATCAATCGAAATGAGATAAAGTGCTATTGATCTCCACAACATCAGTTTCAAATCAGTAAAGAATTAGCAGCAGATTTAATATTAATATAAATTGGCAGGTGATTCCAAACTTTCGGCCGGTAGTGTATATACTTCCAGTTTAAGCTACAGTTGCTCCCAAGTAAGCTTACATTTCTAGTGTACTTTTATTAATTATAAAAGAATTAGATTATTGTTTCTTCGTTACCAACTGTTATCTATTATATTATACTTTCGGATTACGTATTGCTAATTTAATGCATTTTCGTATATGACATTGCAATACAAATATTCGGACACTTACCAAAACTGAACATTTGTAAAATTCTTGCTATAATATTCATATTATTCACATTGAAAATATATTTGCCTGCTTCGCTAGTATCCGAATATTTGTAAGTGTAAGTAAACTTTGTAAGTGTCTCGTTCACTTCGAACCTACTACGCAACCCTGTTTCCCGACCCATCCAAACTATCCAACTGGTCAGCACATTCTCATACCTCACTTACAATCAAACGAACCGAATAAGCATGCGACAACAACTGGTCTTACCTTGAACCGGCGCGTAAATGTTCAGATAAAGGCAGTCCTCGCTCTGGTTCCTCAGATAGGGTAGCAGCCTCCTCAGGTAATCGACTCTTCCCTTGGGCATCTTGTCGGTGAGCTCGGGCAACCTTTGCGGGCAGACGGGCCCAAACTTGTCCGCCACCTTGACGCCGTGCCAGATCGCGCCGCTGACAGGTGGCATAAAACGCAGCGAGCCGATCGGCGGCGACGCGTACGGAACTCCACGGAACACCTCGACGCCCTCCAAATGCCGGTCGAGGGTCACGATCGCGCCCGACAGTTCGCCGTACTTTGTCCTGACGATCCTCGAGCTGAGCTCGGCGCTGGCGGTCGCCAGGATTAGGCCGAGCAGCGCCAGGATCGACGACGTCATCTTAGTTCGCGCCCTTGATACCCCGTCTCCACGCCTGCTAGCAATCACTCTCTATCTATCGACAAATTCATCTCTTTAAGACTCTAACCGCCTCCGGAGGCTGGAAGACACGAGATCACGGCCACCTCGCCGCCACGAGGACCGGATACCCGTCCAGGATGCATCAGTGGGCTATCAGGGTAGAGAATCTCGGAATGTTCATCTATGAACAGGCTAGACGACTAGGAGATCGCAAAGATTATTAATTCGATAGTTCGAGATATTGATTCACGTTTATCGTTAGGCTACCAGATAGATCTATCTCTTTCTGTGTTTGATGTCATCGTTGGAAAATGTTGATCGACTTCCCTCTTTAAACCACGTTTCCTGATGTTTGTATAGCTAGCAGGTAAAGCTGCTGACGGGCCTCCGCGAGCAGTCAACATGCGCCCGTAGACATCCCCGAGTCAGCGTTTTGAAAGGTAAATACTGTGAGTGCTCTTGCAGCACGCCTTTGTGTCTGGTGAGTTGGATGAGATTCCCCGTGTCCCTATTGCATTCGTAGGAGAACTCGATGGGAGCTTCTACAAGTTATACAAGTTGCCGCCTGCAAGTTGCCGTCTTCATTTCACGGACACAGTGTAGTTAGCAGTTTGCTCGAATTACAAGAAGACGATCTCGTTCCTGATAGCGTGCTTGATGTGACGGTACAGGTAAAAAGCACCAGCCCTAATGATGCCCAGGAGAAAGCTACGGCTCCGATGTTTACCGGTTCGCTTCATCCTTACGAGCTCGAGCGGTTGATGGAAGGAGGCCGCCGGAAACTGTGGAATTGCGTCCACCGTTTTACTACCCTTCTATCTCTGAACCGAGCAGAGTTCCTCGAATTATCCCCTTCATTCGTTCTTTACATACCCTCGATCTATCCTCGCGATTCTTCGCGGAAACGAAAAAAAATTCTGAAATCAATTTAACGCGAGAACAAAAAAATCGACGTAATAATCCTGACGATACCGATGAAACACCATCGAAAGGACACGAGCTGGAATCCGATCGATCACCGGAGGCTGACGAAAAATCCGCACCGAATCACTGTCACACTCTACACCGCTCCATCGTGTCTCGTACTACCTAGGACATCCGTGAACATTGTTTACTTTTTCCTCTAACCTATCGATGTTCTCCTTCAAGAATGAACGATAGGACAGGTTCGACAAGACAGGCTGACGAGGACTCGTACGTTGTAGAACGCGTTCACGAAGCTGTAGAACCCGTCGTCGAATTTGTTGGTTTTGGTAACGACACACGCGGCGACACTGGACCGAACGCACTCTTCCACACGCACTGTAAGCACTTCCGGCAGCCGTGAACCGCGGTCCCTTTGGTCACGTGGCAATCCGATCCACGGCTAGATCCCGAGGATCGCGCACTCGATGCTAGAGGAGGCGAGACGCGGACGCGAAACGCGCTGGACCAGAGGAGCCGATCTTACCGTCACTTGAACCTCGGACAGACTGGCGTCAAGCGACACCGCTCGCACGGAGCTGCGCATGCCCCGCGCAAACGCTGCCCATACCGCTCGGGACATGGGCGGAAGTCCGCGAACGCGTCGATAGGGCAGGGGGGATCGATGTCGACTGAGTGTCGGTGGTTCGTGTCTGGGTAGCCGACTCGGATGGTCCGTAAACGCCAGCATGGCATCGAGTGCAGAAATATGTATAATTGCGTGCAATTGTGTGGATTAGGTAAATGACCGACGTTTTTTTTTTTTCACTTCTCTTCTGTTTGGCTAAGAGAGTAATTCGGTGTTGCTCGGGCTGACGGGACGAAGTGATCGGAACGTAGGCTCGATTGTACCGTAACAGAGAACATTCTTTTATCTCGTACGGTTGGTTGTATCGCGTTGTTTGTTATTGGTTATAGTTCAAATAAGTACAGATATGCGACCTTTTTTATTTATCGAAATTGTGAAGCTGGAAAATTTCCACGGAATTTTTCACATGCACTCGTTTTATGCTTCAATTTTTCTATTTCGCTTCAATTCTATTTTTCTGCTTCTGTTGGCAGAAAGTCTGAAAATCGGTGTCATTGATGTTACAATTTGCAACTTTTTCAACGCCCGTTATTTTTCACCGCGTAAATATAAATAAATACGTATAGAAAATCGTAGGTCTAAGCATGCTGCACGGTTTTGTCATCAAATAATCACGAATATGATCAATTATTACCATCTGAAAGCGCGCTCTAACTCGCTGTAATATAAAATTCACAACAATCCCCGTAATAATTCATCGTAATAACCCAATCCCTGTTCCATCATTTTCGAAGACGTTTGGGGATCATGACATCGGTCTTCAAACGAAGTTCATCAAGCGCGCGTTCAATCCCGGGAGTTATAATCGGGTTCACGTTGCAGGCGATCATTCTGACAAACCAGACTAGAGTATAACTGGATCCATTTAACTATTTGCAAACAAAACCTGATATCTCGTGTATGCTCCCGCTGATTATATTGTAAACACGATCTCATAGTGTTCTATGACCCGCGAACCGTTTCAACTGACACCCTCTCTCAACCCCCTCCGGCCCCCGCCGACATTCAGGATGAAAGCAACGCAACGAATGAAAGTCTATTGCCGGAATTTTTCCAATATTTTTCCAAACCGAAATTCGAGCGTGTGCGTCCTCTAATTCCAGTCTGTTTTTTTTCTTTTGCACGCGTGAAATTACCAAATACGCTCGCGGAGTCTAAAAGAAAAGGCGGATCAATTTCCGCACATACAGCCAGACAGTTTAATGCAACCAAGCAATGGGCTATCTCTTGTTGTTAACGAGGTAACGTCGAACGTGTATTGGACAACAGGCTGCTTCATTGCTTTCAATCTCTCTCTCTCTCTCTCCCTCTGTCTATTTGTGTCTTTGTCTAATCATAAATCCACACGTGAATACAGGTGGTATATTCCCCAAAATGCAGCATTTGATACCGAAGCTGTGTGAGCTTATTCCAAATTCTGAATCGCCATTGTTGCACACGAAACTAACTATCAATCGTTCCACCGTAGAAGAACATGTTATTGCAGCGTGTATGTAATGTATCTAACAAGGGAACGTCCGGATAATGATGAATCTTTGGTATATGATGGTACTGAAAAAAATATTTGAAAAGTATCTTCTTTTATCGGCAATTGTTCACATTGAAGGGGTGAAAATCTCCTTCAAAGATGTGGATAATAAACATATCGCCTATCTTTAACAGATTTTCCATATTTCTCCTATTCCTTTGATTAACCAAGTCCACCATTTTTCTGAACGCGCTTTGTTTTCGAGAGTCTCCTCTTGTACACGCAGCTTCCTTCGCGATCTAGGCACTCTCGATGTTGGCTCCCACAATGTTCATCAAGCCTGATTATATAGCAAATAACTCTTCATTTGCAACACAGGTTGTTATGTAACGGTAATTCAATGTAACTGAGTTCTTAAATGTTAAATGTGTGCGAGTCCAATATCCTGAGGTTCAAAATTCGTGTAATCGTTCGTACCAGAGTTCAGATTCTATGTTTGACTAATGTGTTCTTACAACAATGTCCTTTTTACGGTTTTTGTCCATTTGGGTCCCTTGACGGGGGTGAGATTTGGGTCGACGGCCCGACGCCAACCGCTCACCCTTAGGGAAGGGGTGTTCTGGATGAGGTACGCGTCACCTGAGCTTCTGGGAGAAACCCAGGGTAACGTCAATTGCTATTGAGATGCACGAAGAAACTCCAAATTCTCTGCTTTCATGAGAGGTTTGAAGCCCTCCTGACAATAAGGAATAACTAACGAACGAAACCATTAAACGCGTATTCAAACCTTAATCTCAAAAATAGCAGAGTCGTGTCCGTATCGTAAACCTGGTCTAAACCTAAGTATCCTTAACACTCGAAATTCTTCATCGCTCCACCAACGGAGGTGACGTTGCAGTACAAATTATTTCTCATTGTATTCTTTATCGAGACTAAAGTTTGCTCTCTTTAAAAAGAAAATGAGGAAAAATTTACGACGTTTTAAACGGTCCCGCCGTTTTTATCGTTTCATCCTTGGCTTCAAGTCCGTTTCTATCGTTTCATCTCAGATGATACTTTATCATCTGGAAGATTCATGGAAGAAGTCTAGGACGAGGTTCATCTGCAAGGTGACTTCGGCATCGATAACTGGATCGAGCACGTGTACACAGTGGCTTGTAAATCACGCTATTACGCGGATCATCTCGATAGATGGTGGAAAAAAGGGGAGGCTGGATGCGCGAGGCAAAATTGGAATATCAAGGCAGGCAGTGAGCCAGCCAGCCAGCCAGCCAGCTAGCCGTGGCAAACTTTTTAACGAGAATTTCAGAGAAGAATGACTAGAAGCGCGGTCGGTTTCTTCGCAAAGTTTCGCGATGTACAACACCACCTCGTCTTCATAGTTTAGCCCCAGCGCGTAGTTATCCTCGTTAACAAACTTCGATGCACGCTAAGCTACCTTTTAAAAACAGAATGTCTCCGGGTTTTTGCTCGGGACGCGCGTCGAATTAGACACCAGGGGAGGAAGACGCGGCCGATAACGGCGCGGAGGTGTTATTCATGCTACTTTGGGTACAAGAAGCGATCCATGGATCCGTGTGACTCTGCAAAAAGTATGCCGATAGGAATTCATTCGTCGTACCGAGGACTAATTAAACTGTTCCAATTTAGAGATACGATTGTTTAACGAATGTTCTCCGAAAATGAAACTGAACACCTCGGACGCTTGTCGTGAATTCGAAACAGAATAACGAAACTAAGATTTCAACCCCGATGTTATTGAAATTAATTAGGTCATCTAAGTTCCCGCGGTTTTAAACCGGTCTTCTTGAAACAATATAATTCCACTGAAATTGAAGATTTTTAGTTGTTATTATTTTCGTAATGTTCGATGCACTTTTGTCAACATGTTGCAAGAACGTTAATTCCGCGTACATAAACATTCGAATTTTAAGAGTCAGACAGAACGACAGAATTATC